CCAAGGCCAAGGGCAGGATGAGCACCAGCAGCAGGTCGGCCGCCGCCAGGTGGAACAGGAAGGTCTCGGTGGAGCTGCGCGTGTGCCGGTGCCGCTCCAGGACCGCCAGCACCAGGATGTTGCCCGTCAGCCCCAGGAGGAAGACCAGGCCGTAGGCCACGGGCATGAACACGGCCTTGAAGGAGGTCAGGAGGGGCCCCTCGGCCGCCGAGCAGATGTGGTTTTCCACGGGGGCGGTCTCCGTGCTGTCGCTGTAGTTTCCTAGTTCCTTGGGTCGCAGGAGTGAGGAGACAGGAAGGCAGAGAACTGAGGACCCGCCTTGCTCCCTGGAGAGGGGCCCCGACTCCCCACAGATTGTCCTGATCCCCGACTGACTGCTCTTGCCTGCACTCCCTGGTGTCCCACTGACCACACCCCAACTTCCCTCGGTGTCCTTGACCACATCGCTCTGAGCGCCTTTTCCCACTTCAGTTTTCATCTGTAAAAGAGGCCGATTGGCCCGGCTGCTGTGGCTCAGTGGTTGAGCATCAACCTATGAACTAGGAGGTCAGGGTTCAATTCCCAGTCAGGGCACATGCCCAGGTTGTGGGCTTGATCCCCAGGAGGGGGCGTGCAGGAGGCAGCCGATCCATGATTCTCTCTCATCATTGATTTTTCTCTCTCTCCCTCTCCCTTCCTCTCTGAAATCAAATATATATTTTAAAAATTAATAAAAGGGACTGATGGCTCAGGGGAGTGATGGAGATGAAAGGATACACAGGTGTGGCATGCTGCACGACCTCTGACGGGCTGTGCCCCGAAAGCTACCCCCTGTCTGTGTCCCCGCGTGTGGAGGTGCGGCTCGGGGCTGGGATCCAGACTCCAGAGTGGGAATGGCTCCAGCGGGGCCAGAGCTGTCTGTTCCATTCGTAAAGCCTAGAGTCCCCCCGAAGGGACGGTGCTGCCCAGGGCTGCTGGCCCCCTCTTGATGTGCCCTCTCTTCCCGTCTGCCTTCAGCGTCCTTGAAGCTGCAGTAACAGCCTCCATTTCCATTCATCTAACAACAGGCTCAGGCAGGTGATGTTCCTAGTTTTCCAAGGCATCTTGCTCAAGATCAGTCTGTTTGAACCACTCCAGAGCCAGTGCCTCCACCACCAGGGGCAGGGCCTGGGCTTCCCTCCCGGACACTCCCATCACTAGAGCTCCCGGCTCGCTCTCTGCTCCCCTGGCAGCCTCAGAAGCAAGAGGAAGGGAGGGAGACCAGGCCCAGGGGGAGGGAGGGAGGAGCCTGTTCCCAGGGAAGGGGGTGTGCCCACTCTGTCCGTGCTCCCCTGCCCCAGCTTCCTCCTCCTCCTCCTCCTCCTCCTCCTCTTCCTCCTCCCCGGCACTCAGGTTGCTTACCCAGCTAACCGCAAAGGAAGAGGGGGGGTTGGCTGTGCCTTTTCATACCTTTCACTCACAGCTGGCCCCCTGCACCTGCTCCACCTCCCTCCCCAGCGCTGTCCTTCCCGCCTCTCCCCTCATCAGACCTCTCTCTCTGGCATTTTCAAAACCAATGATAGCCAATGAATGTCGGTTACAAAAGACACTGCCCATCATCAAGGATCCCAGGGAGGGAGAGGTGGGAGAGGTCCTGGCAGCCCGGTTCTGGGGTCCCGCGCTGCCCTCCTTCCGGAGAGTGAGGGCGTCCCAGGGGCCCCAGTTCCCGTCCCCCAATCGGGGCCTTTTCCTTCTGGTCCCTGGGGCAGGTGACTCTGGAGAAGTGGGTGAGGGGATACATTCGTACCATGGCAGACCCTCTGCCCCCCATCCCTCTGCCATCCCCTCCATCCCACCGACACCCTAATGCTGGGGACCAGTGTCCCCCTGTGGGTCTTCACTCTGCCTGGCTCCTACACAGAGGAGGGATTTTCCAACCCCGAATCCCCATCGCACCAGGGTCCTGCTGGCTCCCGGTTTACCTGTAAACAGTGGGTTTTTTATTTTTCTGTTCTTCCCAATTTCACACTGAATAGCAAAACCAATGATGAGGAAAGTCATGTTTGTGAGAAAGTGCCTCAAGATCGAGTAAGCCTTGGACCCAGAGAGCATGACGCTGAGCAAAACAAGTCAGTCAGAGAGAGAGAGACGATTATCACAGGATCTCACTCATATGTGGGATCTAATGAGCAACATGAACTGATGACCAAGAATAGACCCAGAGGCATAGAAGCGTCACTCAGAGGGAGGGCCGGGAGGGTGGGCGAGGGGGAAAGAGATCGACCAATGAAGTCATATGCGTATATGCATAACCCATGGACACAGGCAATTGGGGGGGGGGCGGGGGGGAGAGATGAATGAGGGAAAACGGGGACATATGTAATACTTTCAACAATAAGGATTTTAAAAGAAAAAAAAGACTGGAGTAAGCCACCGTCATGCATTCACACATGGGATGCAATGTGGGCTCAGGAAGCAGTGGGGTTCACCTCCGAGTTCTCTCAGGGGAAGAGAGCCAGCCCTCTTGCTACACTGCCACGCCATACGGCACTCCGCAGCGGGTCCGGGGGCTTCTGCGGGGAGGGAGGGAGGGGGCAGCCTCCAGCCCCAACTCCTTCCTTTACACCAGGCTCCTCCACTAAGGGGGTGTTTCCCACTAAGGCTTTTGTTTAAGAAAATGGTTCTATTTTCATTTGAAAACCCTGGAATTGCAGGGTGAGGTCTAAATGTCCCCAAAGGGCCTTTAACTCTCAACAAAATACACCTTCCTCTGACCTTTGAAACCTCACATTTCACTTTATGGCTTTAGCCTGCCTGCCGGGACACCCAGCACATCCTGGTCTCCAACACTTGGCCCCGCGCTTCCTTTGGCTGAGCAGTCCTTCCTGACTGAGGCTGATGCCTGGGCCCATCAAGGCCAAGGCCAAGGCCCGCTCCAGCGCCTCCGCCATCCCTCCCGGCTCTTCCTTTGGCTGCACATCTTCCCTTCTTACAGGACGTGCGCCTTTGCCACAGCACCAGGGCGGGCACCTGCTCCCTCCCTGCGTGGCCAGCTCTTTTATTTTTATTTTTTAATGATTTCAGAGAGGAAGGGAGAGGGAGAGAGAGAAACATCAATGATGAGAGAGAATCATTGATCGGCTGCCTCCTGCACGCCCCACACTGGGGATTGAGCCCACAACCCGGACATGTGCCCTGACCAGGAATCGAACGTGACCTCCTGGTTCACAGGTCAATGCTCAACCGCTGAGCCACGCCGGCCGGGCCTCTGTAGCCCCCTCACGAGGCGCATCTCACTCTCAAGGGCCGTGCAGCAGGTGTGTCCTGAGCGGCTCTGAGAACAGTGCCCCAGAGCAGGCTGGGCCCTTTATCCTGGGACTTAGAAAAGTCTCTCTGCGTCCCAGGGGACATTCGGACACTGCTTGTCACCCTCTGCAGCTCTTGCTTCCTCCAGTGCCCTGCAGAGTCTAGCCTGCCTCGGCTTCTCTCTCCATATTACGAGCAATTTCCAGTGTCGTTACTGAACACAACCATTCGACTCATCCTGGAATCCACGCACAGCAATGCAGTTCAGAGGCAGAAGAGAGGCAGAGCTGGGAATAGCCCGTGGGGCTGGGCTTGGCCTGCACCGGCTGTGCTGGGAGCCCAGCGTCCCTGGCCCAGGGGAGAGCTTGGGTACAGCCGCCCGTCCTGCCAGAAGCCCTTTCTGAGAAGCGCTTCAGTCCTCCCTCTCGAAAGCGTCCTGGTGGATTCGTTTGTTTTCACTTAAAGCCAGCACAGTGGGATGGCCTGGGCCCCCGAGGCCCCTCTCCCAGGAACCCAGCCTTTGATGTAGGTTGCGGGGAGGGTCTGTATCTCCTTCCTGGCCGGGAGGGATTTGCTTGGCAAAGCGCTCGGGCAGGAGGGGACACAAGGACACTGTTCTGCGGGCGCTGGGAGTTGGCAGCACATCTTGGCAGGAGCATCAAACAGCCCATCAAACAGCTGGTTTGAGGGCTTGGGAGTGGCAGGTGAGGAAGCTGGTCTAGAAACCACTTCCCATACCCGGGGGGTCAGGCACTCCATCCTTCCTCAAACCCAGCAAGGTTGGCTCTGGCCTGGTAGGCGGTGAAGAATCAGGAATTCTGAATACCAGGAGGAGTGGGATACAGAAGGGCGCTCTCCAAGACTTACACCCAGAAGCAGCACATGCCGGCAATTGGCCCAGCAGTAACCCATCCTCTCCTCTTCTACATTCTCATGCGTGCACACTACTCATGCACGCACACTCTCATGCATGCACACACACACTCTCATGCATGCACACCACTTATGAATGCAGACATTCTCATGCATGCACACCACTTATGAATGCAGACACTCTCATGCACGCACACCACTTATGAATGCAGACATTCTCATGCATGCACACCACTCATGCACGCACACCACTCATGCATGCAGACACTCTCATGCATGAAGCACTCTCATGCATGCACACACTCTCATGCACACACACTCTAATGCATGCACAACTCTCCTGCATGCACTCACACACTCTCATGCATGCACACACTCTACTGCAGCAGCATGCACCCTGTATAGGTACAGATGTGCCTAGGTGGGGCCACAATAGCCTGGGGTGTAGGTAGGTACCTGGTGGACAACAACCTTACACATTGGCCAGGGACCCAGGCCCCAAGGAAGGCAAGCACACATGCGGCCTGGGACTCTGAAAGCAGGTGGGCAGGGCCCGGGGCTGCCCCAGGGACAGGCCTGGACCCGCTCCTCTCTCACACTCTCCGCCCTGGCTTGGGCGACAGGTTGGGGGACACTCCAGGACAAGGCAGAGTCCTCTCCACGCTGGACTGGGAGCACACACTGACCAGATGGAACTGATAGGAAAGAAGAGAGCGCTAGACTCAGGGTTCAGGCCTCAGCTGGGCAGAGACAAGCTCGGGGAGATCTGGCTCAGTGACAGTGCTTGAGAAGAGGACCTGAGAGTTTGTTGACTGAGAGTGTAAGTGAGTCAGGGGGTGGCATGGCTACCGGAAGTGCTACTGTGACCTCACTCTAGGCAGGGGTGGGGAACGTCCGGCCGGGCATGCGAGGCCCACAGAATCTTTTGGTCTGGCCCTGCCAAGGTGTTAGGGGTGAGTTAACTGAATATTTGACCAAATAGAGCAGGCTAATTTTTAAGTCGATAATTTTTTTAAAAAATTGATTTAAGAGAGGGAGGAAGTGGGAGAGAGAGATAGAAACAGCAATGATGAGAGAGAATCATCAATTGGCTGCCTCCTGCATGCCTCACACTGGGGATCAAGCCCACAACCTGGGCATGTGCCCTGACCAGGAATCGAACTGTGACCTCCTGGTTCATAGGTCAAAGCTCAACCACTGAGCCACGCTGGCCGGGCTAAGTTGATAATTTTGTGTGGCCTGGGAATGAGGTTATAAATACCCACGTGGCCCCAGCAGAACAAAGGCCCTGCCCTGCCCCAGGTGAACAGAAGCCTGCAGGTGGCGTCCGGCCCCAGCCCATGTTGTTTGGTCTGGACATGAGTGGGCAGCTGGCAGTGGGGGACATTCTCATCCG